TAGTAGATACGCCATCGGTCCTTTTGTAAATGCTATTCCATGCCTTTTGTGTATAATTTGCGCGAGCCTAATGACGAAACTCCCTCTACCCAGTGGCTTTCTCAAAATTGTATTGTCTTTGCTGTTATTATCTGTATGAGTAAGTTACATACCGGAGCATCGCAAATGAAGTTTATTTAGTGGAGTAGTAGCACCTGACTAGAATATATTTAGGCTTGGCTGTTGGCGGAGCGGCTGCTGTGTCAAATTTAACCACTGGTATCCTCAAAGTTGCAAACATAAAGGCAGTGTTTTTACACTAGTCTTTTTATTTTTTTTAAACGTGCTATTTTCCAGAAAAATGTAAATATTGCCATGAAAATGTTGGAGTACGATAAACAGCTGACTGAGAATTTGGCTAACGGCATTGTCATGCTAGAAGAAACTGAGTCAACAGTCTTATCGGTATGTGTGGTCTTTGCAAGCTTTGACATAATATTGGAGTGTGGATTTTTTGTTTCAGAAAAATAAAATTCATGTTGAAAAGCGAACGGGCGACCCGATTAATCGTGATACAGTCATGAATGGTATAAGTGTAGGCGCTGTCACGGTCGCCGGTGGAGCTGCTCGTTTGTTGCTCAAGGAATCGGTGTGTTGAATATTCATGAAATGATATGAATCTCTTCTCATGGACTCTATTTTACAGACTGTTATTGAATCAGCTGCATTGAAGGGAGCCGTACATGCCGCTACAGCTATAGGGATTGCGATTGATGTATTGACAGCTATTCAGAGTGTCAGGGTAAGAACGATTATAGTTATTCACTTTAATGAAATAGGGTGGTTTTGACGCTCCTCTTCTGCTTGTTGTCTGCTTATTAGTGCTCAAACCTGCGTACATGTCGTTATCGTACCGAACCAGAATAACTGAGTGTGAATTGTCTGCGTAGTAGGCATGGGAGACGGTCGACAGGGGTTTCTCAAAGGACGCCAAGTCAACAGCTTAATTCGAGCTTGGCTAGTCTTTCAAGAATACCAGACAAAATTTCGTAGCTCACTAGATAATGGAGTCACCTCTTGCTGAGTTGACGCATCCGGTAAAAATGAACTAAGTATACACGCGATTACCACTTTTAATATTTGCTTCATAACGAAGGCGGACGCC